CTGAGTACAGTGATACCATCCATGCATAGGTTTGCTGGGTTGTTTGGGGGCTGAAAGGCCACAATAGAGACTTGTGCATATCAGTTTTTCAGCTTGATATATAGGTATGCTTGGTCTATCTTCAGTTTGGTGTATTTTTGCATCCCCCAGTTAGTGTTACCATCATGAAAGTATATATTTTTTATCAAGTAGACATTCCAGGGTATTGTATATGGGGTGTTTTAGCATCATTTCCCCAACCATTGTGCTAAAATATTTTCAGAGAACCTGCATGATGATAATTTGTGAATTCTGCTTTTTGATTTTAGCCAGCAGGTTATATGTTACTGCCAGAAAACACCCCATTTTTTCTTCTGCAAAGTCCCCTGAGTACAGCTATGGCCCCCCATGCATTGGTTTGCCATGATTTTACAGTAACAAATTTTGGACTTACTTGCCCATTTTGGCTGAATATAGTTGGCTTGCTTTGCTAGGCACATGTTGAGTGTGGTGCATTTTTCCATCCCCCAAGTTGAATTTATGGTTTGAAAGTATATATTTGTATAAAGTACACATCCAAGGTTTTGACATTTTGCCCCTTATTATTCAGAGAAAGTGTGTGGTGGTAATTTTTGAATTCTGTTTTTTATGCACACTTTGCTTTTAGATTTTGGCCACAATACTTTTTTAACCAAATGTGCAGGTTTCAAATGCACCTTTAGCAGCAATCTCTGAACTAACTCCTGCAAAAATAATGTAGATTTGGGGAAAGGAAACTAACTAAAATTTTCTGCTTTCAAAAGAAACAAACAAAAAAAATAATTCAGGAACAAGTCTTACAAAAAGGTATGCTCTGTGTGGTAGAGCTTAAAACATGTTCCAATACATAATCCGGGTTTTGAAGGGCAATCGGGACAGTGAAAGGGGGTGTCTGTCCTTTTCTCTTTTTTGTAACAGATCCGGCAACATTTCTGGGGATTTGTTTTATTTGCAGTAGGGGGGATCTTAAAAATATAATGCGTAGCACCAGTTCTTGATTCCTCTGGCACCGTTGTTGGAACTTCAACGGAACCATCTCCATAAATGATTGTTGAAATCACTTTTAGTTGAAATTGGAGAAAGGTGGTTCTTCCAGGATTCATTTTTTAAAAAAGTATAAACAAATTGTGGGTTGCTACTTGCATCAGATAGATAGCCACCTTTTTGTACCAGGCTTTAGTTTTTCTTAAAATAAGATATGGCTGCATGAGCTGATCTGCCAAATCTATACCCCCCATGTGCCTGTTATAAGCCCTGATGCAAACAGGTTTGGAATTTACTCTGCCTCGGACAGTGACGTCTGACATGCTTTCGTCATGGATGGTGGTTAGCATGTTAACATGCTTCCTGTCCTTAAATTTAATTGCAAGCACTTCAGCTTTGCACAGTGCTCTGCATTGACCTTTTTTAATTTGGCCTCTATGAAAGGTCTGGGGAAATCTGGGCAAAAAAAAAAATATTACAGACAGTACTAATGCACTGCTGTAACAGGACTTGGCAGGGAAGGGGTTAAAATGGATTTTTAAATTTTTTTTTTACAGGTTTTGACACTTCTAGCAACACTTTGAACACTGCAACAATCTATCTGCTCTGATCTCTGTCTCTCTCGCCTCACAAAACGCTACAGAGGAGAGAGAGGCAGAGATCAGTGTCAAAGTGAGTGTTTGCAACACCCACTTTGACATCAGCCAATTGTGAGCGATCACAGATCGCTCACACGCCGCAGTTGGCTGTTACTATCTGCCTGGGATGCCGGGCAGATAGTAACAATGGGATTTCGGCGGAAGCTATCTCTGATCGCTCCTGCCGCCCGTTTTCTGTTATGACGGTATGTTACCGATGACGGTCCTGAACCGTCATCGGTCGGCAAGGGGTTAAAGGATCACTATAGGGTCAGGAACACAAACATGTATTCCTGACCCTATAGTGTTAAAATCACCATCTAGCCCCCCTCGGCACCTCATGCCTAAATATAGCAAAATCTTACGGTATTCAAGCCTGAAGCTGTAACTCTGCATGCTGTTTGCCTCAGAAAAACAAGCAGTCTGCTGACATCATCAGAAGTGGTAGCCTGATCCAATCACAGTGCTTCTCCATAGGATTGGCTGAGACTGACAAGGAGGCAGATCAGGGGCAGAACCAGCTTGATCCAAACACAGCCCTGGCCAATCAGCATCTCCTCATAGAGATTAATTGAATCAATGACTCTCTATGAGGAAAGTTCAGTGTCTGCATGCAGAGGGAGGAGACACTGAAAGTTTGGTTGAATTTTAGGCAGCCATGACCCAAGAAGGATCTCTAACAGCCATCTGAGGAGTGGCCAGTGAAGTTATCACTATGCTGTAGTGTAAAGACTGCATTTTCTCTGAAAAGACAGTGTTTACAGCAAAAAGCCTGAAGGTAATGGTTCTACTCACCAGAACAAATTCAATAAGCTGTAGTTCTTCTGGTTACTATAGTGTCCCTTTAACCTACAGTGTCCATCTAAACTCCATCTCTCATGAAAAACATGTTTCATGATTAATAAACAGTACATGCTGTAACCTATGATGTTCTTACAATATGCTGATTTGCCTGTGTCATTGTATTGCATAATAGGGACTAAACACTTTGACCTGTGAGGCGGCTGAAACAATCAATCACTGGTTGTTGTATCGACACATGCTTCACATAAAAGCTACATTGCACACACAAGGACATTGCCAATACATATCACTGTGTGTAGAAGCAGGACGATTTGCTTCTGAATCAAAGACAGAAGTGAAAATGTATACAATATAATAAAACTTGAAAAATTCTCTCATCAGCAAGGTTTTCCAATCAATCTGCCCTGTGCAAAGACCAATTCTATTTGACCCTCAATAAACCATAGACACAAATACCATAAGCAGTAGTTTGAAAGCACTCTGATTGGTTGGTTTGAAATCCACAAACACTGGCCCAAATTGGTGTTCAAATTAGTTTTTTTCATTTTTCACACACAAACAAATATTAACACTAACTATGGCCAGTGTTTGTGACTAAGTGGCCACTAAAAAAGACTGGACATACCCAATTTGCAATACCTTGAGTTGTCTACTTTTGCAAATGGTATGCCATCATGGGGGTAATTCTCATTCCTGAGCTACCATACGGTCTCAAACCAATCATGCGAATTTCAATGTTAAAAAACTGAAAAATTTAACATGCTATATTTGTCCCTGTAACTTCCCAAAACACCATAAAACCTGTACATAAGGGGTACTGTTTTACACGTGAGAGATCGCTGAATACAAATTGGAGGTTGCGAGGTCACCTCCTTCAATGTATCACGCCACTGCAGTGTGGACCTGCTGAGGTCTTGAAAGAAGCACAGTGAGTGCTGTTCAAAGATGAATGGGGATAGGCCTTTAATTTGTGCCATAAATGTGACCTTGTCAGTTCGTGACTGAAAGCATATTATGACATCCCTTGATCCCGAGGGTTTGTTTGTAAGGCTCCCTGGGAGGTGGTATATCCCATCTATATAGAAAAAAAGAGAAGTACTATATAATATCCCAAACAAAGACCAGAAAACAGTGCCAAACACCCAAAAGTGTACCTCACATACACCAATATAATATGAACAAAGGGGTAAATCTATACTGTATCAAGTACTAGTGTAGATTAAAGGGGTAGCACAAAAATCATGAAACATACAACCTGTATATAATACAACACAGTTCTTCAAAGAATCTAGAATATGAAAGAAATCACATAATAAGGCATGTACAGAGATATATGATTCAATCCCGTAGGTAGAGAACTTACAAGACCATACTGTAGATCTGCGCTTATCTCCCTTCCATAGGGTATATAAATAACGTTTCCTTTCTCAATAGACTTGTATGTGTAGACCAAAGGCGTAGATTCAGAACACCCAATCCTCAAAGGAAAAGAGGTATATAGAGCAGTATTGACAAACAAAAATGAATACTGGAACGCATAACGTCCATAGCACACAGCTCAATATCACTGACGGCACTTCCGCGTTCCACCGTGGAACGCACGGAAGACCGAGCAGCCAATGGGCTGCAAGGAAAACCGGGTGTCCCAGAGTGGGACAAAGGAAGGCTACCTCTTATTTGCATATAAACTCTAACATACATAAAATATGCAGTATAAAAAATAATAAATAATAATAATCTGCAAAAAATAAGAATAACAATTAAAACAACAATATCTATACATAGAAATGTCACAAGTGCAAAAAATAAGAATAACAATTAAAGCAACAATATCTATACATAGAAATGTCACGAGTGCAACATATCATCCCCACAAAAATTATAGGTTAATTTGCACATAAGAACATAAAAAATATGTATATATATATATACCACCCATAGAAAGGTAAGATCAAGAATATATAATACTTGAGAAAAGGATGTATATGTGTATACACATACATGCATACACATGCATCCATATATACATATATACATACATACATATATGTGTACACACCCACATCCATATATCGGAATAAAGATGTATAACATCCACATAAATGTAGATATCCCAAAATAATTAACCCAACATATGGGGACACACACATGGATATAATAATTCAAAGTATAAACACAGGAGGTCACTTTGATCATGAAGTGAATGGTAAATTTTTATTATTAAAGGAGCCCCACCAAGTCCATATCCTGGTTGAGGCCTCTCTTCAGAGTATTTAGTGTATAAATCCAAAAAGCCTCCTTTTTGGCTAAATCATTAATTCTACTCCCCCCTCTCCAATGTGGAATTACCTGGTCTATACCAATAGCAATAAAGGTCTTCACTTGGTATATCCCATCTAGTTGCATACCTTCAGCCTGTTTGGGTGTCAGAGTAGTGGAGAGTAATCTCCTGATGTACTGTGGGAGCTCGCCAGCAACGATGGCACTTGGGATCCCTCTGATTTGGAGATTGCGCTGTCTTGCTGCATCTTCCATCTGACCCACTGTTGCCGTCAGCTATGCATACGTGAGGGTTACCCCCTGCAGCTGGGCTGTAGTGATGTCCTGTTTGACTCCGAGGCCACGGACATTTTCCTTTGTGGATTGTATACTGCCTGCTAGAGTGCTGAGGTCTGTTTTCAGGACCGCCATTTCAGAGGCTATGCAGGCCTTAATCTCCGTCACCATTGCGGTTATATATGTTTTTGTGGCCAGTTGCGGGTCGGGCTGCCGCTGGGGAACCACTCTGCCACTTCGAGTGTGTGGCTGAATCTCCTCCGGTTCTGGATCTTCCTCCTCGGAGGCCGATGTGGAACCGCGTGGAGTCTCTGCCATTCGATCTGCCATTTTAGGCCTGGATGTCTGGGTGAGCAAAAAGCTAAAATCCCGGGTATGGCTCTCGCTCGAGGCCCGAGATTTACAGGAGTGTTTGCCCATGTTCTCCTGCTCTAGTTGGTGCTTTCAAAGTGCAGACCCACTGTCCCAATTGGGTAAATTGGGGTTTCAGGATTTTTCAGTATCAGAGCTCAGGGTGCATGCGACCGCTCCGTTAGCTAGTTCTTAAGTTCTCACATTTATTTTATATTTTATTCATATTGAATTATGTTTCATAGCTAAATATTTGATGTTAAATATAAGCCCTATTTCTCCTGAATAAAATGATATTTAATAAGTGTGGGTGCACTTAATATGAAACTTTTGTTTATGTTTTGTTTTGATCATACCGTGTACATTTGGCTCAGTCCTTAAGGGGTTAATATCAATAACTTGCAACTGCTGTTTACTAACAATGATGGAATTTAATCCTAAATGTGCTGAAACAGTATTGTAAACTGGGAGAGATTCCAAAGAACTACAAATAAAAGAAAAATAGAAAAAACCTCAGTAAATGTGCAATGTAAAGTCCTACCTCACGCAAGAGTACTTTGACAGCTTCAACAGCATTCTGTGTACATGATGCTCCCGCTAACAGAAAGCATCCTATTCCTGTGTTAAACTGGATAAAGTTGTGTTTTACAGAATTAGCTATCACCAGTATATCTATATGTACATAGGCAACGTCTCTCATACTTGGCAAAACATGTCTGTATGGGTAACTCCATCAGCAATTCTCCTTCAAAAACGGTAGAGAGTCCAAGTGCATTTTCTTATTGCTCCACCCTAGTATTATGTAGATTAAAACAAGGGGAAACTGACTGTCTGTCTATCTATCTGAAGTCGAGTTGACCTTAGCCCTCACTTACAGACTATGACATACTGCTGCCTGGCCTCTTCCTCCTGGAGAAAAAAAGGTTAAATGAGTAGGAAAAGCTGGCAGCCAATCACAATACACCATCCATTTTGGCATGAATGATGGAAAAGGCGGCTATATATGAATTAGATCACCACAACTTTAGAAAAAATTATTGCTGGGGGGAGTTCATGAAAAGAGAAGACAGAAAAGGGAAGAGTAAAGAGACAAGGCAAACGAGAGGTGGGAGAGTAGAATAGGTAGAACAATAATATGAATAAAAACATGGAGGGAATGAGGAGTGAAAGGAGAGTTGGATGGGGTCAAATGGAACACTGTGCTCATATTACTGGCATTCTATCAGCAGAGCAAAACTAGCCTTCTATACCATAGATGCTGAGCAGCAGTGAAGTAGGCAATTGCCTATTGTACAGTGAGTGAAAAAACGTATTTGATCCCCTGCTGATTTTGAACGTTTGCCCACTGACAAAGAAATGATCAGCCTATAATTTTAATGGTAGGTGTATTTTAACAGTAAGAGACAGAATTAAAAAAATAAATCCAGAAAAACATGTCAGAAAAGTTATAAATTGATTTGCATGTCAAGAGTGAAGTAAGTATTTGATCCCCTATCAATCAGCAAAATGTCTGGCTCCCAGGTGTCTTTTATACACAGGGCCAGATTAAGAGCCCAGTGGACCTGGTGCTGATAATTATGACGGGCCTAATTACAGAATCATATCGACCAAAAACAGTAAAACACTCCCAAGCATCATGTATCTGATGGAGATGGTGCTGGAGAGAAAGAAAACACAGCTATAAGAAAACACATACCCTAGGCTAATCTCTCTCTAATTTATGTTTTCATCTTTCAACTAAATCCAAAACCCCTAACAGCAGTGTCCAGTCAAGCAGGAAGTCAATGAGCACGGTAAAAGGGTGTGCCACTGACACAAATCAAGTAATCTGCCAAAAGGGGCGAACATGCCCAAAAAGAGGACATGTCTGCCCAAAGAATTAGAAGGCCAGCCTGGTATGAATGCATGTCAGGCTGCCTGCCAATCATACAGCTGGCCAACTAAGGGCATACTATGCAGACAGCACCCTGAGCTTGGCATAAATGCATCTAATGATGCGCTCGCTCAACGCTTTCTAAGGACTGTCCCCTAGCATTCGCTGGTCCACTTGTCTCCTTACCTTCTTACTAGCAGGCAGAAGCTCCTGGTATATAGTCTGGGACAAAGAAAGGGTGTATGTAGAGAGTGTAGAAGAAAGGGGACATGCCACAGTGTTAGAGGACCAAAGTCAGCATTACCTTAAAGGATCACTATAGGGTCAGGAACACAAACATGAATTCGTGACCCTATAGTGTTGACACCACCATCTAGCCCCCCTGGGCCCCTCATGCCTCCATAAATATAGAAAAATCTTACTGTATTCAAGCCTGAAGCTGTAACTCTGCATGCTGTTAGACTCAGAAAAACAAGCAGTCTGCTGGCATCATTAGAAGTGGTGGCCTAATCCAATCACAGTGCTTCCTCATAGGATTGGCTGAGACTGACAAGGAGGCAGATCTGGGGCAGAGCCAGCATGATTCAAACACAGCCCTGGCCAATCAGCATCTCCTCATAGAGATGAATTGAAGAATCTCTATGAGGAAAGTTCAGTGTCTGCATGCAGAGGGAGGAGATACTGAATGTTTGGATGCATTTTAGGCAGCCATGACCCAGGAAGGATCTCTAACAGCCATCTAAGGAGTGGCCAGTGAAGTTATCACTAGGCTGTAATGTAAACACTGCATTTTCTCTGAAAAGACAGTGTTTACAGCAAAAAGCCTGACGGTAATGATTCTACTCACCAGAACAAATTCAATAAGCTGTAGTTGTTCTGGTGACTCTAGTGTCCCTTTAACTATATTCATTGTCAGCCAGTCCACACAAGTTTTGTTCCCATACATCCCTCTTAAGTTTCCATACTTAAGTAAGAGTATGTGAAAAGTAGTTAGGGTTGCCACCTTTCTTGGAAAAACATACCGGCCTTGCTAATTTGCATAATTAAATATGTATGGGTGACATCACATGATGTAAATCACAAGGAGTGACATAAGAGAAAATGCTGTAAAATCACCAAAAAACTACATAGCTTGATTCTGCTGTATAGCTGGACTCCTCCCAGTGGCCCCATGTCTCCCAGTGCCCCCATGTGTCGATTACTCCAGGTCTCAGTTTTCCTATCTATCAGTGTCTCAGTGCCCCATGTCTCCCAGTGTCCCCTAGTGTCGTGTCCCCAGGTCTCCCAGTGATCCTATGTATCACAGTGTCTCAATGCCCCATGTCTCCCTGTGTCCCCATGTATCCCAGGGTCCCCATGTCACTACGAAGACGGGAAGACCTGGGGACACGGGGAGACCTAGGGACACAGGAGACACCAGTGACACTGGGAGACTAGGGGACTCTGGCTGGGATGCATGGGGACACTGGGAAAATAGGGGACACTTGAAGACATGGGGACACAGACACCATGGACACAGACACTAGAGACACTGGCTGGGGGACATGGGGACATTGAGACATGGGGGTACTGGGAGACATGGGGACAAGGAGACACCAGGGCCACAGACACTAGGGACACTAGCTTGGAGATATGGGGACATTGAGACACTTGAGGCACTGGAAGACATGGAGGCACTAGGAGACATGGGGACAGTGAGACACTGGCAGACTGGGGGCACTGGGAGAATAGGGGGCACTGAGACACCAGGGACACTGGCTGGGAGACATGGGGACACTGTGTCCACATGTGTCTGTGTCATAATGTCTCCCAATGTCCCTTAGTGTCTCAGTGTATGTCTCCTTGCAGCCTTTCCCCGTCCCTCACTTCCCTGAGCTGTAGGCTGTCTCTGCAGGGTGGGAGTTGCTGTCTGGACTCTCTGTAGCTGCACCCCTGCAGATGAGTGAGTATAGATAGGCATGGAGGGATATGCTGGAACTTCCTATCCCTGCCTGTCTCCACACACAGTGACCCCTACTGGCCAGTGCTGGTATTGCATAGTAATCTCTTGTTTATACTGAGAAAAATACCAGCATTTGTATTGCCAGTATCACTGTAATATTGGCACCAGCCAGGCAGCCTCAAATACTGGCTGTGCCAATAAAATAAAAGCCAGGTGGAATCCCTAAGAGTTGTGTGTGGAAAAAAAAAAAATGTAAAAAAATTTTTTTTATTTTTTTTAAATAAATCAATGGGCCTATTCCATGGGCCTGGGCCTGGAGCTGCAGCTCCATCAGCATCCTATGTTAATCCGGCCCTGTTTATACAGGTAACAAGCTGAGATTAGGAGCACTCTCTTAAAGGGATAAAATGCACCTGTTTACAGAAGCAATCAATCAGATTCCAAACTCTCCACCATGGCCAAGACCAAATAGTTGTCCATGGATGTCAGGGACAAGATTGTAGACCTTCACAAGTCTGGAATGGGTTACAAGACCATTGCCAAGCAGCTTGGTGAGAAGGTGACAACAGTTGGTGCGATTATTTGCAAATGTAACACAAAATAACTGTCAGTCTCCCTCGGTCTGGTGCTCACCTTGTGGAGTTCCAGTGATCATGTGAACCATGTGAAATCAGACTAGAACTACACGCGAGGGTCTTGTTAATGATCTCAAGGCAGCTGGGACCATAGGCACAATAAAAATTCGTAACACTCTACACCACGAAGGACTGAAATCCTGCAGTACCCGCAAGGTCCCCTGCCCAAGAAAGCACACGTACAGGCCCATCTAAAGTTTGTCAATGAACATCTGAATGATTCAGAGGAGAACTGGGTGAAAGTGTGGTGGTCAGATGAGACCAAAATCGAGCTCTTTGGCATCCTGCCTATGACCCCAGGAACACCATCCCCACCGTTAAACATGGAGGTTGAAACATTATGCTTTGGGGGTGTTTTTCTACATCAAAGGGACGTTGGACGGGGCCATGTACCATTAAATCTTGGGTGAGAATCTCCTTCCCTCAGCCAGGACATTGAAAATGGGTTGTGGATGGGTATTCCAGCAATGACCGAAAACACACAGCCAAGGCAACAAAGGAGTGGCTCAAGAATAAGCACATTAAGGTCCTGGAGTGGCATAGCCAGTCTCCAGACCCTAATCCCATAGAAAATCTGTGGAGGGAGCTGAAGGTTCGAGTTGCCATACATCAGCCTTGA